TGGAGCGAGGAAGAGAGGCGGGGGGGGGAGCGGGGCAGTGCGGTAGGGGAAGAGGCGGTAGTAGGGGACGGACTCGTCAAAAGTGACGTCCTGAGAGGGCAGGACACGGCGCGAGGTGGCGTGGTAAAACTGCCAACCAGACGCGTCCGGGACAAAGCCAAGGAAGACACAAGGAACAGCGCGGGAGGAGAGCTTGTCCGCGGACGTATCGCGAACAAAAGCTCGAGATCCCCAGACCCGAAAACGCGACGCATCACCAACCTCTCCCGTCCAACGCAGTGTCGGGGAAGTCTCCGGCAAGGAGACACGGGGCCAGAGGTTGAGCTGATGCGCAGCGTATCGGACCGCAAACGGCCACAGAAAGTGGGGGGCAGCCGCATGGATCAAGGAGGTACGAGCGACCTCCATGACCAAGCCAATGCGGCGCTCAGCAACCCCATTCTGCTGTGGAGAGGCCGGAAGCGTGAACGACTGCTCAATGCCGTGCTCCGCACAGTAGGCTGCCAAGAGGTCGGAGGAGAACTCACCACCTCTGTCAGAGTGCAAACGCAGGACAGGAAAGTCCGAGTGGAAACGCTCGCTGAGCTGGAGACGAGAAGCGCGGATCCAAGGGATCAAGACATCAGGGACCTCACCCTTGGTGCGCAAGGGGAAGACCGTAGTGTAGCGCGAGTAGTCGTCAACAACGATCAGGAAGTACCTCTCCTGACCCTGTCCACGGACGCGGGCTGGGCCCCACACGTCCATGTGGAGCGTCTGCAAGGGAGCAGTCGTCGAGGGAAACGAGGAGGAGTGAGGAGCGGCGCGCTGCCGCCCCTCGACACAGGGAAGACAGGGAGGAGCAGGCGAGGGTGGGAGGGGAGGGAGAACCCTGGGAAGACCAGAGACAAGGTACCGTTTGTGCATGGCACGAAGGCGCTGCACAGACGGGTGACCAAGGCGGTGGTGCCAGAGGACGGTCTCGTGCGCCAGAGAGCGACACGAGCAGGGGGCCGACAGCTGACCTGACGCAGACGCAGCTACCTGAGGGGACTCAGTGGTCAGTGTGTACAGGTCCGACCCCGGCTGCCGAGTGAAGGTAGCCAGGTGACGGCCCGTCCGAGCACACGTGCAGTGTGTCACGCGCTCGTAGGCAGGGGTGAATTGGTGAACACCCCCGTCCTGGAGCGCACAACCCGCCACCAAGTTCGTAGAGAACGAGGGGAGGTGGAGACCTGACAGTGTGCCCGACGGGACCGCAGGACAAGGAAGGACAGTGGAGGAGGTCGCAATGACCGGACCCCCAGAGGGGTCAGCGAGGGAGACAGCAACTGGCCGAGCCAGCGGCTCAAGGACAGTGCGGTCACGAAAGAAACAGCGAGAAGCACCTGAGTCCAGTGTGAAGGTGTGCAGTGCCTCAGTCGACTCAGTACCAGGGGGCACAGACTCACAAGCACCTAGAGCAGCAGCCTCACCAGCACCTGGGGTAGCAGACACGCGAGTACCTGGAGTGGCAGTCTCACTAGCACCTAGAGCGGCAGCCTCACTGGTCCGAATGCCCGGGTCGGGCGGAACACACAGGTACTGAGCACCCTCTCCACTAGTAGACATCACATACATGGCAGTGAGAATAGCATCAAAGTCTAGAGCATAGATATCAACTCCCTTCTTCATCAGATCAAACCAGCGGGGCAGCTCAGTGGCATCAGGGAACTGAGTACGCCAGGCGTCGTCGAGGCGAGAGAAGCAGCGCTGCGTGGTGTGCGCCCTCCCACACGTCTGACCAGTGCGGTCACCAGTGCGGATGACGTACGTACAGCTACCCCCCCCCCCCCCCCCCGTGCTGAGAGTACCACTCACGGGCCTCCTGGGGTGACGGAGTGTGCTGCTGGCTCTGGCCACTGCCAGCGCCTCCACGACCACCACCGCCGCCGCCACCTCCTCGACCACCCCCTCCCCTGCCGCCGCCGGGACCACTGCCGCCCCCACCACCGCCCCCGCCCCTGCCACCTCCCCCGCCGCTGCCGCCACCACCCCCACCGCTGCCACTAGTCCCTCCAGCCCCACCACCACCCCCACCGCCGCCACCGCCTCCACCACCGCCTCCCCCGCCGTCACCTCCACCTCCCTTGCCCCCTTTGCCCCTGCGGCGCCCGCTCGAAGCAGACGCAGTCCCGACCTTCTCAGCACCAAGGAGGTCGACAGCAGAAGCAGAGGCTACAGAGGGAAGAAGGGGGGAAGGGGAACACCCCTCAAAGAAAGGGGTGCGGGGGTCGCCACGAGAGGCACCTACAGCGACTATGCTAGCCTCAGCTGCAAGTAGTTCCTTCTCGAGGAGGGCAATGGTGAGCTCAGTGGGGCAGCGAGCTAGGAAGTGATCCCTGACTGCACGCAGAGAGTCAGGGAGGCGGGTGACTAGGTGGTAGAGAGTGAGCCAGAGCGGGGGGGGGTTCTTAGCAAGGAACTCATCGGGCATAGCGGCACGGAAGCGGGCCTCACTAGTACGGAGGTGCGTGATGAGGTCAGCAACTGTGTGAAAAGAGGCCAGGTCGGGGAACAGGTAGGGGAGTGAGAGACGGCCTAGTGCGGCAGAGGCAGGTGAGGAGTAGCGGGCAACGACAGCAGTGTACAGTTCCTGTGCAGTCTTGTGCTGGCCAAAGTGCTCGCGCTCATCTATCGGCAGGGAGTTGCGAATAGCAAAGCGAGCGTGGGCGTCACGAGTCTGCCACTGTGAGCGGGCAGCGCTGTCAGCAGTAGCAGCAGGGGCAGTAGCATGGCCTAGGGCGTGATCGTACAGTGAGATGTCCTCCTTGGCAGTGAGCTGTAGGAAGAGGTGGAGGTCATCGAGCCAGGTGTCAAACTTCACCGGGCGGCCCTCAGCATCGAAAGCTAGCACAGGAGGGCTAGCCATAGTAGCAGTAGGAGCAGCAGTAGTAGTAGTAGTAGTAGTAGGTGCACCCTAACAGCAGTAGGCAGCGCGACTCAGGTAGGGCGGCTCGGTCCAGAGAGGCTGTTCAGTACGGGCGGCGCGGCTCGGTTCAGGTAGGGCGGCGCGGCTCGGTTAGGGCGGCGCGGCTCGGTTCGGGCTGCGCGGCTCGGCTCGGACGGTCTGGTTCTGGCGGGGCCGTGGCTGTCGCGTGCGGGGCGGTGAGGGGCGGCAGGTGGGGTCGACGGGGCCGCTAAGGCGTGGGTGCGTACGGGGTCGACGTTGCCGACGGGGCCGCTAAGGGAGGCGCGCGGGGTCGACGGGGCCAGCGGGGCCTCTAAGGGGCGGGTCGCACGTGGGGTCGACAGGGCCAGCGGGGCCTCTGGGTGGGGCGTGCGCGGGGTCGACGGGCCAACGGGGCCTCTAAGCGAGGCGCGCGCGGGGTCGACGGGCCGACGGGGCCTCTAAGCGGGGCGCGCGCGGGGTCGACGGGGCCAGCGGGGCCTCTAAGGGGCGGCGCGCGGGGTCGACTAAGGGGCGGCGCGCGGGGTCGACGGGGCCTTAAGGGGCCGTGAAAGAGAGGCGCACGAGGGCGCTGGGGGGGAGGCGTTAGGGAGCGCTCCAACAGTAGGGCGCACGAAGGCGCTAGTAGGCAGTCAGTAGTGGTGGGCCCGAAAAAAAAAAATTTAGGTCCTAGCGAAGGACCTACTCTGAAACCATGTCAGAATGAATGAAGCAGGAATGAATGAACTAACAGAAAGTTGGGTACAAGTAGGAAACCCTAAGTTTGTGTACCCCCTAAGGTCAAACCCACTACAGCCTACACAACTTAAACATGCAATGTTTGACAACTACTATCCACCACACATACCAGAATGCAACAACCACCCTACGTCTCGTATACGTAGCCACGTGTACGACCATTTCATTCTGCTCCTCCACGTCAGCGTTCACTTCCCCCCAACCAGATGCGACTCCAACCGTCGGATGGAAACTAACCTCCACCGATCCCACCCGTTCACGTGGCCGCACCCCCCGACTTCGCCCACTTTGTAACACCTACTTCGGATACGTCGCATGCGCGCCATAGTGATATCGTGTCCGTCCAAACCACCCTCCCTCGTTCCTATAATCTCCCACCCCCCTCGTGCAACCTTTTCACCACACATACAACGACACGTGCCAATATTACACCCCTCCGATCCCGTCCACCCACAGGCGCACACCACATCCAGACTGTGCACTTGTCGCCACCACATTCGGTCGCGTGTCTGGTTACACTTTCGCAACCCACATCTTCGCGTTACTCGCCCACAGCCCTCGGACAACTCACAGCCGCCCATCTACCACAAAATCTCCAAATCCCAGCCTGCCACGGCGGATAATAGCTGCCCAACCCGCACGCTTCCTCACCTGCGTGCTATGACCATTTCCTAACATCTGGCCCGTCATCCTGCCATCATCCTACCGCTATGACGTGAAAGGGCACGTGCTCTCCCACGCTGACACTTGCCACGTTTACACTTCATCGCAACACGAGTAACACGTTCGCCACCTGCGTCTCTAGCACATCGCACACTTCGCGCCAACATTGAAGCCCTTCATCACGCCGTCACAAGAACCCTATATCCACTGCCACGCGTCCGTATCACATCCCCCCACGCATGCACAACAAATCATCACAAGCAATCTGCAACTGACAAATGCTGCACCGTACACCACATAAGAAATTGACACACCGCCCCTTCCAATAGCATCCATCCACCACATGCCCCTCGCTACGCCCACAACCAATCCCCGCGTGAAATATGGCTACATGCCTACAAACCCGCCGCATTTTGCGGCGCCTGTTGCGATCGCCATTGCGGTTGACAGTTACTGTGCATTTCACCGGCGCGGCGCGGCAAGATTGAGGTGTTCGTTCTCATTATTTCCTTCATCCAAATTAGGGACACAGACATCATATAGCATACGCCGGGTGTTCCCCTCCTGCTCTAATTACCCACTACAAATCACAAACAGAGCCTCTCACCCTCATACCTATCCTGCATAACAAACTACCAACTCAAAAAACCATCACAGCCAACACACTTCTTCACTCGGCATCGACAGACACCGACTGCGCATCATCGCCTGCGCCCTCCTCCGCGACAGCGCCAGCGTTTGGCTTCATGTCTTCGAGGCCACACGCCGAAATGCGGAGGCCATGGCGCCCCCATATCCACTCCTCCTTCTCGGTGTCGTAGTCTGGGTTGTAGTGACGGATCGCGGACGAAACCGACGCCTTCACCAGCACCTTCAGACCGTTCACCACGTGGCCGTTGCCACCCGCAGAGTTGGAGAGTCGACCCATCCGGCGCTCCCAGAACATTATGCTGTCGGTCACCTGCAACCGTACACAGACAATCAACCATAACTTATCACTCTACACGAAACAACAACCCCCCGGTAGAGCGCCCCAACTCACCACGTGCTCCAGCCAGGCAAGGTGGTACACCTTCAGCGACAGTGGCATTGCGGCCTTCTTGGGATTGAAGGCAGCCTTGGCGCACGCAGCAAACGCGCCAGATGCGAATGGCATTCCATCGCGATCGTTCGACCAGTTCGACAGCACAAGCGGTTCTGCAGAAACATGTTAGCACCTTGAGTCCATCAGAAAGTTTAGTGAACGGCAACCACTGTGAGTATCCGCAAGCACAACCACTGCATACACTTACCGGTCTCATCCACCCCAAGTCCAATGCGCTGACGAATCTACTCTAGTGAGCGCGCCATCTCCCGTGCCCACGGACTTAGCTCGTCACGCTCATCGCGAAAGAATCCAAGCTTGGGTAGCGCAATGTCCCTAACTCGAGAAGCAGCCCGAGTCTTCCACTCGCTCAGTGTCTTGTTCAGATCCGCGCGACAAGTCTTGTCTGCCGCCAGCGCAAGGCAGGCAAAGCTGTGCGGCAGGCAGTCAAGCACACTGCACACGCCGTATGTCTTGTCGTCGGAGCTTGGGTAGAAAGTCATGCTGGCGTTGGGCTTCTTCATGAACAGCTGCACACGGACATGTTCGCATAGTCGCTGCACACGTAGCATGCTCAGCATAGACAGCACGCGTGATGGGATGTTAGTGGGTTAGGCGCAGATGGCATGACGTTTGTATGCTGCACCAAATACTGCTCCTAATTAAGACACCATGCATGGGAACGACTCGACATACCTTCCAAGCCTTGTCCGCGGGCAGCAGGTCCAGGGCACGCTGCAAAACGGGCGACCTCGCTGACCGCAAATGCCTACGACGCGTACGGGTGTTTGCCACATCCTCGTAGTCATCGTCATCGTCCACATTGTCATCGTCGTCATCGTCGGCCACGGCCTCCACGCGACACGCGCGTTTCGGGTTCATGCATTCCTGAGAGGGATCCCTCTGCTTTTCCGCTTTGCGACGATGGGAGCCACCGTTGGCTTTGGCCAGAGCATTAAGGAGGAGAGTTTCTAAGCGCGCCACCTTCTGCGCACTCTCATCCTGCGACTTCAGGAGGCTCCTGAATACGCTGGCAGAAACGCGCACCTCCTCGCCATTCGTGTCCAACGGTTCGTCCTCGCGGTACATGTTGTTGTCGAACATGTTGCGCATTGCTGCACCCACGTCCTCATCATCCTCTTCGTCGTTAGCGTCGTTCACTCTGGTTGAGGGCTCTGCCGCGCCAGCCCCGACGTCGTCGACGCACATCCACCTCGAGTTACGACCCGCATCGTCGTCCTTCGGCCGAGCATCCTGAGAGTCGGTTTGCAGACCTTGAGAGAGTGCCCTGCCCGGGGACGCTTCGGATGTCTCGCCACCCGTGTTATCTACAGACGTGGACACGGGGAAGAAGGGGAGGTAAGGACTCATTAACGCACGCAATCATAAACGGTTATGCGGGTACAACCCTGCGTATTATGTCACATCGGCCACCGTGCAAATAAAACAATGAACCACATCCATACTTACTGTCACCAATCGACTTCCCTCCATCTCTAGCCCGCGGCATGGCTAACCGCTTTGGCAGGGAGGTTACGCGAGTTCCCCTGGGCATGCGGCCCCTTGGAGTCGTCAACTGGTACGCAGCTCGGAGATACGCTGGCGGCTGTGACACCCGGCGTGCGCGAACCGCGTTCCCGGTATCCTCGGACGCAATAGATGTGGCCATTTTCAAAGACTCTTGTGTGTGGGTTGCAGAAACCCTTACTGTATGTACTCGTTACCTGCAACTTCTAGTACGCCAAACATGCACAGGTGACAGAAATCACAAACACGATGACATGATCGCGACGTCAAAGTCTTGATAAGCGCAATCCCGTTCCACCACAGGAAACCGTCCAACCCGAATGTGAGAATCTGTTCTAGCGAATCAGCGAAGTTCGTCCATCCTCGTCACTTTCCGTGAAAGCACCAGTCACCCCACGAAACTCATAGCAATTGGTTTGAGGCTACCAGCAGTGTTGGCCTGCATATAATCTCTCCCACATTAAGACCTCGCACTGTTAACGTCACCAAACCTTAAACAGCACCAAAACCACAAACTTATTCATACAAGCATTTGTTTAGGCAATCTCATGTACTACAACATCTTTTGCACAACCACCAACCCCAGTACTACCCCAAGGACCTACCTAATGCCCCCCACTCCCACAGTCCTCTGCGTTGTCCTGTAGGGATGTTGCTACTACTACACCAGGTGATTTCTTGGTCTTCTTCCCTTCGTTAGACTCGTTCCCGACAAGCAGCGTGTCCTCACTACCAGCCTTCTCACATTGACCATCTGTGACCGTGGCCCCACCATGCTCGCCCGTCTGCTTACGCTTCCGCCCCCGCTTTGCAGGTGTTGCAGTCTTCTTTGCCTTTGTTGCCTTCCGCTTGAGAACCTCGTAAGCCTCTCTCCACACCCTCCAGCGCCACCACATGCGGCCGTCCACCAACACCTTTAGTATTTCACCAGTACACCCCTTCAATGCCGCCTTGTCAGCCGCTGACAATGCCACTGTGTGACCCCGAATGCTGTCTTTGGGCCTCAGCACATATGCGGCCGCAGCGTACGCAATCGCAACCTCCTCTATTGTGGTGTAGGCACCCACCCTCTTCTGTCTCTTCTTCCCGTGCTCGTCCTTCATTAAAATCTTCACACCAAACTTGCCTGTGCCCGCCTCCACATAAACCCCTGTGTACTTTGTCGGCTTGGATTCGGAGTCACTATCCCCCTCTTCTTCTTCATCACCATCCTCGCATCCCGGCACTGGCTCTTCTTTCAGTGGAGCATCGAAGGCTCGGGGTCCTGCCGCACCTTCTTGCAACAGTCCATACATCTGTAAGGAGGGATGCAGGGTGGAAACTCCTCCTCCATGCAGTCGGGACAACACCCAGTGCGGAATGGTGCCGGGAATGGGCAACTGGGCCGGGAACGTGTTGAATGCGCCAACTGTTGCCGCGAACTTGCTGTCAAGCGAGACTCTGGTGCTGGACCCCTTGAGATCATCGTCAGGGCTGTCATGTTTGGGCTTTGCGGACCCAGAGGGCCGACCTGGCGTCGCTGGTGCATGCCTGCAATTATCGTGCTCCTTTGCGCTCTGCTCGCCCACAACACCCAGCTGCGAGAGCGTAGCACCGGCAGCTATCAACTGGTCCCTTGTGAGCCCTAGCACACTGCTTATGGCTGTGAAGCCGGCATTCATCACACCGACTTCGCGCTCTAGGGATTTCACCACCGCCTCAAGCCGTTCAACAGATCATTCTCTGGACCGGGCCTGGTCTGCTCCCCCTGTCGCAGACTCGTGTTCGTAGTCGTCCCAGATTGCTGTGAAGGGATCTCCAAGCCTTCCTCCTCCAGCTTCCGCAGCAACTCACCCATGGCGTGCCCGCGTAAATCAGAGCGCATGCTGCGACGGTACGCAAACGCGCTTACTCCTCTGAACCAGAAGCCACTCTTCAGAGTGTCGAAGTTGGTGTCCACCAGCGTGGCTAGGTAGTGGCAGATCTACACACCACAGTCATCTCCGTTGTCCTGCTTTGGGATGTGGTTCTCCTGGAATCATACAAAACAGGAACCCATGTTAGCCATCCACGCATTTTAGATCGGGCTGCCTACCCGTCAACTTGGTGTATGGTATTGATACACTCACTGTGAGCACATGGCACTCGACATCTTCAAGCATCTTTGCCATGTGCGCCTTGTCCGCATGTGGATGCGTGGCATGCGCGAGTGTAGAGAGCACCCTGCGGGTAAGATAACAGCAGACACCAAGGTTACACGCCATGCTGTACAAGCGCGCTTCAAAAACAGAACACCACGGGTGTGACACTTACACCTTTGTGCCGGAGAAAATATTGTCCACGTTCTTGGGGTTTCGGGAGCTGTCCAGCAACACCATCTCAAAAGGCGCGTCATCCCCCTTGGCCCTCGTGTCCACCATCCGGATAGGCGATGTAACAATCACCAGGGCATAATGTTGGCTGCACATCGTCAACCACATCAATGGTTAGTCCTCACCCGACAAAGAAGCTGAAAGAGTTCCTTAAACGACTATAGCACATGCTCGCGCACTCACTCGAGGTAGACGGGAACAGCGAGATAGTCGTGCTCGAGAAGAGGGAGCCCGCCACCGGCACTGACTGGAGCATTGAACCCCGTGGTATTCGCCCAAGCATTGCAGTCGATCGCAGCCCATGTTTTGCCGTTCTTCAGCCTCGGCCACCGGATGCTTAGCAGCCTGCAAAGACAAGACGCACGCAATAGCTTATGCTCGTCTTGCTACAGTGCTGCCCTGTCGCGACGACATGACGCGCAGGTACACTGACCTTTTTAAACACAGAGCCGTCTCCCGACACTCACACGTTGTGAAAATCGACAACTCCGTCCGTGAGCCATTTGTTGTCCGCGATCGACACGAGGTCCTTCTTGTCCACAACTGTTGTTACCCCCCGATGGTTCACGAGCTCCATGTTACGGTAGGACACTTTGTGGTAATTCTTCAGAATGGTTGCCACAAGATCATCTGGCTGCAGGACTACTGGGAGTTTGATGAGTTGCGCGTCGCGTTTACTCGGACTATCCTCGTCCACACCCTGCACAGGCCGGTTCTGCTTTTCCTTCTTTGCTTCCGCGGCCTTAATCTTTCGCGAGCGCAGGAAGCGCACTTCGCCGACATCTCCGGACGAGCCGTCACTGGCATCGTTGTTCCGGTCCAGAGCCTTTTTGGGCGCCATGATACGAGGTAGAATTCTTTCGGAGATAAGACGGAGACTGCAGAATGAAAACGAGGATCGAATTTCACGCCTACTTAAGGTTAGGGCAACAGGGCCGGATAGGACTAGAATTCGTTTCCGCGCACCAAACTCTTTCCACTCAGCAGCTGTGGTCACCACCTCTATACCAAGGGGGGAACAGATCTACACGTCGGGCAATACGAAGTGCGGAACAGCATGCGCTAGTTCGAGAGATGTTGACACCTGTCAGCATAGGGGATGTACATGCAAGTTGATGGGTGCATTGTTTACCTCCTGAATCCGCTCACCATCCTTGTCCTGCGATAATAGATGTGCTCATAGCGGGAGAAGCAGATTACAAATGGTGCGTAGGCTGATGTTATTTCTGTGTAGTTGATCGTGTTTACCATAAAATTTCTCAACTGCACCAAGTTCCTTGTAACACGCAACCCTATACGATGAATGTTTCTTCGACGATTTAGTGCACTGTTTTTATAATACACTTTCATTCGTCTGTGGGTGGGATCATCCGTATTCAACGACGCCTCGCTAATCGCGTATAGGCCGTTGACCCCGATAAAATGTCAATAGATCTGAATGAGAAACAGTCCTAGTTTGGAATCGAATTAATGTGTTACAGAAAATAACGCATACACAGGTTGTGTACGTGGTGGACGGTTGTAACTGCTTCGGTGCATAAACATGCGATAAGCCACAAGTGATGCAGTCTAACAGAAGAGTTGGTCTTCCATATGTTCCGTTTGTTTTGCTTGCTGAGGATAGATATTATAACGTTTCGAAAGAATTTTACATTCACCCTTATATTCCTCCATCCCTACCGGAGTTCAAAAACCGAAAACAACCGTTGTCAGTTCCGCAAATTTAGACAACCGGACTGCACTCTTAAGGTCAACACTCCACATTTAGGAAGGCGAAAGAGCATATCAACTGCCTCTCCGGTGACGGGCTCAAAGATAGGGTTTTCACCGTCACCTAAGATGACGGGAAACAAGTGTGGCGTTTGCAGAGTTGAGTTTGCTAGTGACCGTGACTTAGCGTCCCATCTTGCTAACGGCAAAAAATGCGGCGACACTCTAAAGCGCAATGTTGAGCAGCTAATATTTGATGCCTATCTGGATGCGTTGAATTGTTTCGGACACAGTCGTCCTGCCAGCCCGGCTAGATCCAAGGCCAAAACCTGTCGGGGGCCCACACCTGAACCGCCCGAAACCGTCGTTTGCGGCTGAGCAACGGTCAGAGGCTCCTGACGATAATGAAGTGTCGGAATGTTCAGCAGCAAGCGACGGTCAGGCGGTGTTCGACACGCTTACGGAGTTGTACCTGTTTTTCCGCGACGCAGACCTGTCGCGGCGTGAAGTAAACCGTCTACTTAACATTTTCAGGAATCCGCTGTTGGATCTAAAAGCGTTGCGACATTGGCGCAACTACGCCGATGTTAAGCGATGGGGCGCGGCGCGGGCTCCGCCAGACATGGTCCCATGGAAAACCGAGGAGATAGTCGTGCGCGGTCCCAAAGGAATCTCGTAGAAGCTTCTTCTTCACTACAGGGACATGGAGTTGGTGAGTAGCAGCACATACAGACGCACTGACGATCCATGCATGTTGTTGCATCGCATTTGTGTAACGGTCGCTTTTACGTGTTGATGTTGAAATAGTGCTTGCGCGCCATGTGCACAGCTGTTGAAGAAGCTTGTACGTATATTCTCGGGTAAGCAAGGGTTCGTATGGAAGCCAAAGGCGAAGTACAACAAGGAGGGAGAGCGTGTGTATGAGGGTCCCGAGACGTGCACCTGGCTGGAGGAGGCGCAGGTACGCCACGTGTGCCGGGTTTATAAGTGGACTATGTCTGCCGTGTATTAATTGACGCTCCAACGGTTCCATGGATCCATGTGTAACTGGGTGGCAGAAAGAAGTTAAGGACGATAAGGCGCTGGTTCTCGGCGTCATCGTGTATAGCGACAGCACGCAGGCGTCTCGCAATGGGCGGCGGAACGCCTGGCCCGTCCTTATATCACTCATTAATATACCAGAGGAGCTGAGATGGTTGGAGCCGGGTCACACGCTAGCGGCGGTCTTACCGTTTTGCCCAGAATGGGCAAGTCCTACCGAGAAAGCGCGCGTTTTCCAGGAGGCGTTGAAGTTTATACTCGGGCCGTTGATGCGGGAGTCAGCAAGGTACGCGGTTTTATTCTTCTCCGAGTACGGAACCAGGAAGCATGGCTTTGCGGTACAGAACGCTGTGATGGCATTGAAGCTTACCACAATTCCACCCTTCTTGTTGCAGTGCCCCCATGCGGTTCTTTTACGTGACTGACACTGCTGGTAAGGTGGTCAAGGCCATTCCCTGCCTTTGTGGCTATCCTGGGGACTATCTAGAGAACAGCAGGGCGTCAGCCACGCTCCAGAGTGGCACTCACCGTCCTTGTGCTAATTGTTATGCGGAGGTGGGCGATTTGACGCGCATTACCACCGTGAAGGATCCACGCACACCAGAGAAGCAGCGGGACATAGTTCGGCAGATACTTGCCATTCCAAAGCTGGAGGATAGGCGGAAGTTTCAGTCGACGTGGTCCACACATCCAATAGAGGTGAGTTGAGGGCTGTTGGCATTGTTGATGTTTCACATTCTTACACGCATGTTGTATTTTGATGCGGCGATAATGTGCTATCCACTCGTGCAGTGCGTGCTCGTATGGTGGAATTTCGCGGACAGCGACTGGGGGAACATCTACCTGGCCTGCCTAGCTGACACGCTGCATATGTTGGACTCTGGCGTGTTCATCCATATGATGGATGAGTACCTCTCAACACTTGGCAAAGCGGAGATTCGCATTCTGGAGAGGTGAGCCATGCCATGCAACGTGCTGTTGTAAGTGTGCATGAGGGTTCATGTGTAATGCGTCAAGAGTGGGGGGGTACTGCCGTGTGGAAGTGATACTAACTCTGTGATGCGTGCGTTGTAGGCGGAAAAAGGAGCTGAAGAGTAACACGCCGAGTGTCCTACTGAGGATCCCAGGCGGGTCATCATTTTTCCTCAGCGGCGCGCACTACGCGGCGTTCGAGCACCGCGCCATGATGCAAATCGTGCCAATCTTGTTTGCCGACAGCACTGCTATGCAGAAGGGCGCAGTAGGGGATTTGAGGGCGATGCGGGTCCGAGCGTTCCGCTTGTACGCGATGTTTTACAAGAGCTTTTTGGGTGTGTCTTCGCACACAACGGACTCCCTGAGCACTGCGCGCCAGCAAGCCCAAGCGTGAGTACGGTGCACAAAGTGGGGCGGGGGGGTGTGGGGTTGAGTGGGTTGGACCGTGCAGGCTAGGTGGGAGGGGTTGATCTAAATGGAGGTTGCTTCGTGTTAGCGGATCGGTCGTTGTCAAGAGCGTGACGTTGTTCCTCTGGCAGATTGTTGGAGTTGCTCCCGAGAGCGTTCGGGCACCAGAGTTCAAAGTGGGAAATACCCCACACATGTTCCACATGATAACTCATCTTATTGAGAACGTGGAGACGCGGGGAATGCCGTGTCAGAATGTTGTATTTGTCTAGCCTGCAGTGGGGTACTCTATAGCGAGTACAGCCCAATCTAGGGTTTGCTATTTGTATCTCAACTGCTGCTAGTCCAAACCCTCTTTCTGTTTCTAAACTTTGCCTACTACTTCTGACATGCTATCAGAGCAGGTCGACCCCCTTGGGTCGATCCTGTGGGTGGGCCCACCACCTAATGCTTCCGCTGCTGTTCTACTTGTCGCGCGCCTCGGTCGCGCGACGCCTCCTTCCTGCCGTACGCTCGGGGCGTGCGGCGGTTTTCTGCCTGCCGTGCGCCCCGAGGCGCGCGGCGGTTTCCCACCGTCGAAGTGCCCCCCGTCGCCCGTCGAAGCGCCCCCCCCCCCCCGTCGCCCGTCGAAGCGCCCCCGTCGCCCGTCGGAGCGCCCCCCGTCGCCCGTCGAAACGTCCCCGTCGCCCGTCGAAGCGCCCCTGGGACCCGCGCGCGGCCCGTACGGGCTGCGCCAGGCCCGCGCGCGGCCCGGGCAGCCCGCGCGCGCCTCGTCCCGCCTGCGGCAGACCCGTGCGCGCGCCTCGTCCGTCCCCCAAGCTTCTGTCGGCGCCCCACCCCCGCTACTGCCCGCGTTCCTGTGTTAGGGTTTGGGGGTGGCGGGTGTGGGGGTGCCGGTTGTGTGCCCCGTCCCCTCCTCCTCCTCCTCCGTCTCCCGCTGCTGCAGCTGCCGCTCAGGGGGGTGGGTGTGTGGGGAGCCGACGGAGTGGTACTAGGGGGGTGAAAGGGGAGTGGAGCTAGGGGCGAAGCAGGGGGTGTGTGTCGAGGGGTGTGGGACTGTTGGGGGAGGTTGAGCGGAGGCCGCCGTCGTGTCGTCTGCAGCGCCTGTATTCCGGGGTTCTGATAGCCACCGGTAGCTCAGAGAGCCGGTTGCACCTGTCGCCCGTGGGTCCGTTGCTCCTGTCGCTGCTGATCAGACGCAGAGCCTGTTACTCCTGTATTCCGGGGCCCTTGCTCCCGGTAGCCACTAGAGCTGCACCAGAGCCGTCTGTTGCCCGTGTGTCTGCAGCTTCAGTCGTCGCCTCCACTCTTCTCTCCTCTCGCCAGCCCTCCTCCTCCTCACTTGCCCTCTGTGACTGCCTCTAGCTTTGCTCATAAAATGTGAACTACTATTATGACTGCTTGTTGTGCTGATTACACCCCACTTTGGCTATGGGGGTGTGT